AATACCCTTACGACAACTAAGTGTATCAAGAAATACGGTGTCAGTACTTTATAGGCTTCCTTTTTATTGTATAGTATAGCTTTGACGTGCATTTCACGTGGGTCAAACGTCACTATTTTTATCTTGAAGATGGCGAGTTCAAATTTGTTTTAACTTTTTATAAAGTTACATTTTTTTTAGAGTAATACTGTATTAATCGCAGCGTTCAATACCACGTCTTCTCACTCATTAAACTCGTCAATATTAAATGGGTACATTCTAGACAGTTCTGAAAACCAGATGGCGTGTGCAGAATCACATTTTCTTCTAGTCTTATTTCAGTCACGTAAATCTGCCATTAAGACACCGTTTTAACTATATTACTATTCGTGTCTGATATTTCACGAACGTCGGAGAAAATTAGGATGAGTTTATTAAAACCTTTGAAAGTCTTGTCTTCTCGTTAACACAGATTCAAGAACATAGTGTGTTATTGATACCAGAGGGTTCCGTTTTGAAAGTAAACTTTCGTGTTTTATTTATTTATTTTTTATCTTTACTGTCAGTTGTGTTATCTGTAAAATGAGTTAAAATTGACCTAGATAATTATACTAGAGGAATTAAGGGTTTGTTTTTTTTGTTTTTTTTTGGGGGGGGGGGTGTTTTGTGTGTGTGTGTGCATTTGAACATTATTACTTCCCAAAAAAAGGGAGTGATATGCCAGAATAATGATAACTAACATAAATATCCATGTTCCTATGTGGGCTTAAAGGCCTCTTCCTAGTTAACCCGCCTGTAGGATATATAACTAGCGGTAGCGATAAACATAAACAGACTTAGCAATAGCTTAGGTCCCCGAGCAGTTCAAGGGCTGCCCCGTTCACGGGATTTTCTATTATTTTGACTTTTGTCTGCTTTAGAATTGTACTGGCTTGAAAAAAGTATGCTTGCAATGAAAGCTATTTTAAAATGCACCAATAAGTAACGGACGGGCGCTTAAATATTGCATCAGAAAGACACTTCTCAGTCAGGCACACGTGTCGTGCTCGTGCACTGAAGCTCAGTACTGGCGTTGTGCTCATGATACCAGCGATGTTAGTCTGTGAGTAGAAACTAGCTTTGTACTCAAGACTAACATCGCTGGTATCATGACCACAAAGCTAGTTTCTACTCACAGACTAACATCGCTGGTATCATGACCACAAAGCTAGTTTCTACTCACATACTAAGTGAGTAGAAACTAGTTTGAACTCATGATACCAGCGATGTTAGTCTGTGAGTAGAAACTAGTTTGTAC